CCTAAGTAACTGTAGGGCAGAATTGCTCTTTTAAAGATATGTTTCACAGGGTGCATTTTTCTACCTGGTCTTTATAAAGCTGTTCTGCTGAACTTGCTGGTTTTCATACTTGCCCTTTTTCTGCCTAGATAAGCTTGTTTGACTTTTTGGGTTTTTCTTAAACTTTATTGCAGTGTTCTAGGCAAGTTACAGGCCTTTTGTTTCAGTTGTTTTGTGCTTTAAATGATGAGGCCTGTCTAGAGCTCTGTTGTAGCTGGGTGGCTCTAGGGCCTCACCAGGGAAAGTGTGAAAAGGCAAGACCTTGGCTTATTATCTATGATCTGACTGTGCTTTGGGATCGTGCAAAGGCAGAGAAGCAGGAACAGCTTCCACTTCTGTTCTAGAAATCAGTTCTATCTCTTCCTAGAGAAAGGTAAGAGAATAAATATTTGGGTTTGTGTTTAACTAAGTTTTAGAAACTACCTGGGATGGATCTGATCTAAAGTGTGTTTACATTAGAGAGGGATTTTTCCTGAAGCAGCTGGTCAGGGGATGCAGGATTCACTTTCTCTCCATTTAGTTTCTCACAGGTGGTAAAGTGGTTGATCCTCTGCCTGGGTGCCTGCAGTGGGAGGCAGTTTCTGTTCTCTGCATCCTCGTAACCTCCCTGTGTAAGGCACGTGGGCTACTGGCAGGTAGGAGTGATTAGATGGAGCAGGCATGTGTTTCTCAGGAGCTGTTTTTAGCATCCCAAATACAATTTCCAGGAAGATGTAGGCTAAGTAGGTGGCAAACAGGACTCAGCCTAGTAAACAATGCTTAGTGTGAAGTGGAGCTGCAGCACACTGCATACAGCACACTGATCTCTAAAGGAATTTTGTACTCTAGGGCAAAGCCAGGGCATTAGAGATCAGCAAACAGCACGTAGAGTGGCGAGTGACAATGCAAACTCTGGTCACAAAAAGCAGGTTGCTGCCGGTTTAGCATTCCCATTTGCATGCACTCCTGAGCCCATAGCCTGTGTTTCACTATTAATTTTAGGAAAAAACCCACCCCAAAATTCAGAACCCTTTATTAGTGTTGTTGCTACTGAGAGGCTCGTCCCTAATTAATGTGATGGTACTTTCCCATCCCTCTACCACTCTCCTTATTACAAGTCCTTGGCAATACGAGAGACGTATCTATTACTTAGTCATGAGGTATCCAGACCAACTTGCTTTTGAAACTAAAGGCCCTGTACCCCAGGCATACTGTATTTCTGATTTGCATATGGAAAAGGCAGTTAAAAAGCTGATGCCCCCATATTGCTTGCGAGTCAAGTAGCAAAAGTAAATGATTTATCAAGCAAAGGTTACAACACCTGTGCCTTTTTGTCAACATATACAGAGGATGCCAAGTCAAGTGTTGCTTCTAATAGCTCAAACAGAAATTTAGATTCAAATAACCCCCCAGATAGGACAATTACGCAGTGCGTGGAGTGGCAGAGTGATGGATGGGATAAGCAGAGTATGGAAAAACAAACCAACTGAAAAGTCTGGAAACTGCTAAAACCAGACAAAGCCAACAGCACTTTGGGGGCTTTTGTTACTGAATCAGAACTACTGACTTAAAGCACTTTATTTCCTGGTCTCTTCTGTCATGGAGTGGTTGTCCTGCTACAACCTTTGTGGACACAGAAATATTACATAAGTTCTATAAAATTCCTTTAAGGGATTATATTTGACTTGACATGACATAAATC